GCCCAGCAGCTCCCTCACCGCACCATCTCAGCCGGCCCCATCTGCCGGATCACCCGCCTGCTGTGCAAGTGCTGATGCACGGCTCTCCAGAGGAGGTGGGCGGGGGAAGAACTTTTTGTGCGTGGCTGCGCAGGCTTGCACCTTAGCAGGAGCTATGATGCAAGCTGCCTAACGATGGGCTTTAAAATCATGAGACAGGATTAAAAATTATGAGACTAAATGCCATAAGCGGTGCCCGGGTCTGGTCTCTTACGTTGGCCTGGGGCAAGAAGTCCTGAAGTCTGAGATCGGACGGAGTTCAAGCTTTATGGTTCGGTGCTATGGGAACATAGCGGCAGAGATGCCCTCGTGGAGACGAGCCCTGGGAGTTCAAGTTTAGCTGATTTTCAACCACAGCCTCCAAATCTTTCGAAGAGTTGCTTCTTTTCCAGGCAATGTCCGCCATCCTCTACATCTGGTGGATATCCTAAGTGGACACATTTAGCCCTTAACGTCCCCGCAAGTCTCAACTTCAAGATTTGGCGATGGTGAGACTCAGTGACCCGAATCTCACATGATCTTAGGACAAGTCCCATGAGGATGGGTGGGTTTCACAAAGCATCGAGCTCCTGGAATCAGGTGACTCATGAGAATCTGAGCTTTTGTCGGAAAACACCGGTTGCCAGCTCTGAAGGCTGGGGAAAGAAAACTGGGAAACCAACCCCAAGAACCTCAAACAAAAAGAAAACCAAAACAAAACAGTGAATAAAGGCATCTTGCAGTTTTTTGGATGTCTTGTGATTTTTAAACCAATCTCTCAGTTTGGGGTGGGCCCAGATTTGCCATTTTGAAGGCATGCAGTAAGAGGCCCTGGAGACAACGGATGGGAAAAGCGCAGGCTGACCTCAGAGAAGAAGCTGGGACAGAGAAGAGAGAGGCTGGTTGTGCTCATAAACTAGAGCAGGGTGGAAAATGGGGAATTCAGACATTTCAAGTGTGGGAAGAGAATCCGTTGTGATGTGGGAATGAAAAGATGGAATCTCTTGGTATCGGATGCAGGGAGAATGCCCCCAAATTATTTTGCTCATGTTGGAAAATCATGTTTGTACAGTAAAAGCCCCTCATTTCCAGAGCCCTGCAACTTCTCTTGATTTCCCATGTGGTCCCTTCTAACACTCTAGAATCACAGAATCCTAGAGCTGGAAGAGACCTCAGGAGTCATCAAGTCCAGCCCCCTGCCCAAGGCAGGACCAATCCCGACTAAATAAACCCAGCTTAAACACCTCTAGGGATGGAGACTCCACTACTTCCCTAGGGTATGTTAATCTGAGCTAGGTAGGCAAATGAGGTGACCGGAGTTGCAAATGAAGCCCAGGATTTAAATATCCCGGGCTTTATTTGCATGTTCCCATCCAATCGCCATTTTGAAATTTCACTAACCCGAACTCACGGCCGCGCGGCTACCCATGGCAGTGAAACGTTAATTCAAACTAAGTCCTTAGTTCAAATTATCTGTTACTCCTCATTCCATGGAGTATGCCATGTAGCCGTGTGGCAGTGAGTTCGGGCTAGTGAAATTTCAAAATGGCGACCAGATGGGAACATGCAAATAAAGCCCGGGATATTTAAATCCTGGGCTTCATTTGCAACTCCGGTCACCTCATTTGCCTACCTAGTGTGGATTAACGAGCTAATGTAGATATACCCTTAGGTAACCCATCCCAGTGCTTCACCACCCTCTTAGTGAAATAATTTTTCCTCCTGCCCTGAGCCCCCACCTCCGTACTCTGGAGGCCCCCCACATCCCAGTCCTCTGCCCTAACCCCCCTGCCACACACACACACACACCTCTCCTTATCCCCAGACCCTTACTCCAGCCTTAATTTAAAAAAAATACAGTCACTGTGATAAAGCATGGACATTTTCCATTTATTTAAAAAAAAACCACTTCAGTTAAAGACCCAAGCAATGCTGGGTACATCTGCTAATCTCGAATATTAAAATGTTTCTTAAATCAATATTTCAATGTCACATAAAGGCGAAGAAGAAATCAATCAAAACAAAATATTTGCGCCTTATGGAAATGAATTGTTTTCACATTGTCAAAACAAACCCACTCTTCCGGCTTTTTCCATTTCCATCAAAAGTGCTACCAAAATTGACTCAGAGCGTTGGACAGATTTTTCAGGTCCCTTGCAATTTTGGGGTGGGATCATTTGAGATCAAACAAAACAGTTCTGAAACAAAAAGTTTTGTTGGGACATTGAGCTTTTATAAACATTTTACATTAAAACAGTAAAAATTAAAGGAAAATTTCTACACACACATGATTTGGAAGGGAACATTTGGAAATGGTTTCTGGAAATTTTTCGAACAGAATGTTTTGCTTTTTTGGATTTTTTTCCCCCCAGGTTTTGTATTTTGACAGGAACAATTCAGTGACATGGACACATGATTGTCTTCCATGAAATGCAAGCCAGTTATTGCTGGTGGGTCTGCAAGGTAGCCAGGAAGGGGCAACTGGTGGCTGGTGGAAGTGTAGATACATAGAATCATAGAATCTTAGTGCTGGAAGAGACTTCAGGAGGCATCAAGTCCAGGCCCCTGTCCAAAGCAGGACCAATCCCAACTAAATCAACCCAGCCAGGGCTTTGTCAAGCTGAGACTTAAACACCCCTAGGGATGGAGATTCCACCACTTTCCTAGGGAACCCATTCCAGCGCTTCATCACCCTCCTAGTGAAATAGTTTTCCCTAATATCCAAACTAGACCTCCCCCACTGTAACTTGAGAGCATTGCTCCTTGTTCTGCCATCTGTCACTACTGAGAACAGCCTTTCTGCATCCTCTTTGGAACCTTCCTTCAGGAAGTTGAAGGCTGCTATCAAATCCCCCCTCACTCTTCGCTTCTGCAGACTAAACAGACCCAAGTCCCTCAGCCTCTCCTCATAGGTCATATGCTTCAGCCCCCCAATCATTTTGGTTGCCCACCGCTGGACCCTCTCCAATGCGTCCACATCCTTTTTGTAGTGGGGGAGGGGGACCCAGAACTGGACACAATACTCCAGATGTGGCCTCACCAAAGCCGAATAAAGGGGAATAATGACATCTCTGGATCTGCTGGCAATGCTCCTCTTAATGCAACCTAATATGCCATTAGCATTCTTGGCTACAAGGGCACACTGTTGACTCATATCCAGCTTCT